TGGGATCTATCCTCCGAGTAGCCGTTTTCAGAAAAAAGCATTGACAGTTCTTGCTTTAAATGAGCTAATTCTGTCCGAACAATCTTGAGTAATTATTGCAAACTCTCAGCAGTTATGGAAATATCATTTTATTCTCAAAAAAAAACATTATTTCATAAGACAATGGAGCCTTAAAAAAAACAACCTTAAGGGACACGGGTCGTACGCAACTTATATTTCTGCACATATGTCAAAAATAGAAGAAGAATGAAAGATATGAAAATGGTCCTCTAGAGCCTTACCAGTTCAAAAAGATGTTCTAAGAAACACGATCTGAAAACTTTAACATTTATTAGTCAATGCGTACAGTAATCTTTTAGCATTTTATAATTTTTTTTCTGCCTTGAATTCTTCATACACATTTCAATGATATACTCGATCCACATTTGTAAGGGAAAAAATTAAATCGATATTTTTCAACACATAAAAACAGATTGTATCTTTAAATGCCTGAATTGAATTCACACTTATACACAATTTATTTTACAGATTTCCTTATACTTGTTTTTCCTGGGAAAAGAATTCGAGCATTTTCTTGATCCATCGACGCAGCGAATAAAAGAAACGAATAATAATATTTGCTTCGGAGGAAGAAATGGAGAATAAATCCTCAAATCAAGAGTCAGTATTAAAAGATACCAGCAACATGAAGTTGCTGGCAAGTCCTGGCACAGAAGATTTGAATTTGCACTATGCGAAGCAAGATATAAAAAAATTACCATTGAAAAAGGAACCTGAAAACGAACTATTAGATTCTCAAATGCTCGATCCAACAAATTTTATCATTCAGGATTTAGATTGGAATTTCAACTCAGCTAAAAAGAGAAGGAAAAAGAAGTTGATTAATGACAATCTGTCTCTTACACGTGATGAGGTTTCTATGAAAACTGATTTTTCCAATCAAGAGCTACCAGACACAATCAAAGCAGAATTGATGCCAAATACTGACAGAACAGAATTAACAGATATGACGTTGAAACATGAACAGAAAACTTTAAAAAAGACAACAACCAACGAATCATTAAATTCCAAGACGCTTGATCCAAAGTCTGAAGATACTTTTAACATTCAGGATTTGGATTTCAACATGCTCAAAAAGAAGAGAAGAAAAAAAACTGGAGGGGGCAATTTGTTCGTCGACGATGATCAGTTGAAAACCGATTCTTATGATTTATCCAGTAACACAGGAGATACAGATTATAATTACGAAGACTTACTAAGCCGAATATACAACATCATTTGTGCGAAAGACCCAAAAAGCAAATCGGACAGTCAAAAGAGTATAATAATGAGACCTCCTCAAGTTATACGAATTGGAACAAGAAGAACTTCTTTCACTAATTTTTTGGACGTTTGCAAAACTCTTCATCGGAGCCCTCAACATTTGCACACCTTCATCCTCGCTGAACTTGCTACGAGTGCCTCCATCGATGGCAACAATCAACTGATTATTAAGGGCAGATTCGAACAAAGACAAATCGAAACTGTTTTGCGACGTTACATAAAAGAGTACGTGACTTGTCGTGCATGCCATTCCTTTGACACGATGCTTCAAAAGGATTCAAGACTGTGTTTCTTGCACTGCGAATCATGTGGATCTAGGTGGGCTGTAGCAAGTATTAAATCTGGTTTCCAAGCTGTCACAAGCAAACGAGCTGCAATAAGAGCCAAAGTTAACTGATAATACCATTACTTAGTATTACTTTTTCTTCCTTTACTGTCAAAGTTTGGTATTTAAAAACTTTTCATTCTTTATCCACTACAACTAATTAATTAATGTGTGGAGAAATTACTTCATACAACACAAGTGAACATTTTACACCTTTTGGATGAAATTTTTTTCAGACAAGACCGTTGCTTAGCAACACTAGATGAACGGAGATAATCAAAAAATTTCATCAAAATTTTCGCAGTTGCCTAGGAACGCTGAAAAATTTCACAAATTCAAACTTGATCAATGATTTTTAGCAAAATGCCATTTAAATACAGCTGAATGTTCCTTTATGAGAGGAGCATATTAAAAAAATAGTCCTAGGAAATAAATGTTTTGTTCCATTTATACAAATATTCGATTTCGCCTACTTAGGGGGAGAGCGTCCTAAACCACATTTACGTCATATGGAGACGAAAAGCAATAACAAATCCCACGGTTGACTTGAAGGCCAGAATTAGAACAGGCCAGTCATCGCTGAGATTCAAACCTGGGTCACCTCATTGGGATCTATCCTCCGAGTTAACATTATCTTAATTGTAAAACCCAGGAATAATTTCTAATTAATATTTAATTAATTAATAATTATTTCTGACACTAATGTAATATTTTTGATGTTTTAAATTCAGGCTGTGGGGATTTGAAATCTAAAATTAGTTTTTCTCCAAAATCTCCAGATTTTTTTAAATGACGTTTTTAATCTACTTTTTACGAAATATACAAAATTAAGAACGTTATAAGGGGAGCATAAACTCAGGGGAAGATAGGGCACATCATCATGATTAAAATTGCATAGCACCCCATGCCCGGAAATGTCATTGTAAGCGGCTGAAGGCATTTCCCTGTTAAGGCCTGTTCAAGCACACGAAAAAACAGTTCATAACAAGGAAGCGCCCCTAGCAGCGTATGACGACGTTCCCGGGCATGGACTCCTGGACAGTTTTGATCCTGATGATATGCCTTTACTCTCCTAGATGCTTGTCGCAACATTTAAGCGACCCCCTGTTATACATAACGTTTTTAAACTTGTACATTTAAACAAAATTAGATTAAAAATGTTATTTTTAAAAAATTGTAGATTGGAGAGAGAAATTAATTGCAGATTTGAAATCAGCGACGTGTAAATATCTAAGATATGTAAAAAAAATTCATGCAACAAAACATAAAAAAATTTTTATTCCTCAGTGTAATCTCAGTGAAAAGATTCTTTTGTCGTCATTAAGGGAACAGAACAAATTTATTCCAAAAAAGTAGTGGATAGAGTTATTTTTAAAAATAAAATTCACATGATCTAACATTGTATTTTAAGCACACAAAGAATGTATGTAAATATAAGCCATTATGGAACTTGTTTGTTTATTTATTATTAATTTAAAATATTGCATACATTTGCTCTCATCTTTTAATTGTAAAACTTTCTGTTGTTTTATTTTGTATGAGTGATTTTGTTTTATTTATTTGCCTATGTACTCGCGTAAAAAACTATTTAAATGACTTTATTTAAATAAAGCTAATCGATATTCTAGCTTTTTGTTTCTATTTTTATAAAACAAACATTGAAAGTTATGTGCTAAATAGGTTACAACGAAAAAAATCATGAAAGTAAAAGAGAATTTTGTTACGTGTATATTTTTTAAAAAGGGCGCATTTAAGATCTACTCAATGTGATCAGTTTTTTTTAACATAAATATATTCGTAAAATGTTTATTTCGAGAGGTACATAAGCGAAAGCATGACATAAGTTGGTTTTAAGCTAATATAAACCTTAACAGCTTCTTCTTTCTCTTTTTCTTTCAAATATTTTATTTCTGTCTAAATACATTTTTACACATGCAAAACCCCAACTAAACCGAATGTCCTCCCCTAGCACAGTTTGAGATTCTGACTAATTTGGGGTACTATTTTGATGAAAACATATGATATTAAAACCATAATATATATAAATGTTACATTTTACGCTAAAACAAGTTGTCTCCTTAAAGTGAAATCTATATTTATGTTTAGAATATTGGCTAAAATACAAAGAAATATGAAACATCATGATATACTCAGATATTCTACCGTAAAGTCATTTTATTTTGTTTTATCATCAGAGATAAACAGTAAAATGAACTGAAAACAAAAAATAATTGCTCGAATTGAAGCCCAGAAATTTTTTAAAACTGATTTATGAAACTCACTTCTTTTAAATAACACAGTTAACAGGTTTTGTAACTGGACAACTGAAATATGTTTACTTACTTAGCAAAATATTGAACCTTTATCACATGAAAACACTCAATAAAGATAACAAAAAACTAAGTTGAATGGAGAATATTTGTCGAATTTATTTTTGAATTAAGTAATTTCTTGAAGAATGTATTTATTTACTTTATCTATTTACATCTATATGTCTGTAAACAAAGGGGAAAAATTACAATGAAATTAAGAGTCATAGACATTTACATGTAACTTACATGCACACTTACTTGTAAAATTTGTCATAAAGTATATATATTTCATCACTAATCTTTCAGTTCAATAATTCATTTTTTATTATTTTAGCCACTGGATGGCGTTACTTAATTATGAAATGTATAACTTTTATTTTCACTTTACTACTTATCTATCCTTCTTGTTAAAAACACCAAACTCCTACTTGCAAATTATGTTTATTTAATAATAAACTCTTATCTTAAAAGGCAATCAAAACTTTTTACTAAATTAATAATTCTTAGTAATCTTAAGAAAGTCGAACCAGGAATGACAACACTATTGAAGTAAACACACGTGAAGACAAACATAAGTGACCATGCACCAACCAAAGGTAAGCAATATTTTCTCTGCTACCTTTTATTCGCTACGAGCGTGATTACCATCAAAATTAGGTCATGTAACGAGCTACGAGCGTGATTACCATCAAAATTAGGTCATGTAACTTATACATATTTTTCTCACTCATATACAAACCTAATCACATTAGTATGATAAATCACTGGCCATACGATTTTAGATTGATTATTTTAAGCTTATTCAATTGGTATTCATGCTTCATTTTTACACATTGTCCTCTCTTTCCAAGTTGTTAGTGCAATTGGAACATTTTTTATTACTGAAATTAAGCTTGGCGGAGTATTTTTTCCCTCAGTAACAAAGTGTTATAAAATCATAGTATTCTTAGACTATCCTCGAAACAACACAAACAATTTTGTCAAAACTTCTAAGATCGAGCCTCAATTGAGAGAAAACACACACGAAAATCACCATTCTCCTCAAAAGTAGCAAATTTGTTCAATCCTGTTACAACTAGATATTAGCTGATAGTAGGAGTTTCAACTATTTATTTCAAAGCAATCGATTACCAACTGATGTTTAAGAGCACGGTAAGAGAAAAAGTTCAGCCGTAGGCAAAGACTTCGTTTTTTTTCCTCAACGGCTATACTTCTTAACGGTCACAATATATAGAATCAGAACACTAGGCTTGATTCTAGCCAGGCAACACAGTTGGAGCTTGAGATAGTGCCTTTTCTTCAAATTTTAATACCACACAATGTAAATAAGTTGAATGTAAACAGAATTTAATAGCACAAAAGCTAGTACCGGCTATGCTGCACCAATATAACTTTAATATAACATGTTCAAGACAATGAGTTCCAGCTATGCTAAAACTAGACGAAAAATACGAAAGAACAGATTAAGGCTCTCAAGGGTCGAAGGACGGCTAAAGAAGGTAAATAAACAGCATGAAGATAGAGCAACGGGAAGTATGAGTCATTTTAATCATAAAAATTGCGCAATGTTGTGGGTAAAGGGTGAACCAATGACACGTTTTTCCCTTTTAAAGCAATCGTTTTGAGGGTACATCTTTTCACTTTCAATCCTTCTTGATTTGACAGATCGCAAAACACCAGCAACATCGCATCGTGTCAACATTTGCTTTTAAAGCTAATTTTAAAAGAATATCTCTTAAAGTATCTGATTGCAATCGCCTCGATGATGATGATTAGCAAAATTTGAAGAAGAGCTAGCAAAGAAATTAGTTAAAAGAACAGCTCGTACATAAATCTTGTATATGAGCTGCAATTTCTGGAGCAATGGAATGTGCAACTATCCTTTTCCAACAGCAGCTGGTGGTCTCGTGTGGCAAGAGCCCTCATAGAATGAAATATCATCCAAAGCAAAACCGCCATCTGAAGACTCTCCTTCAAACTGCAGTAAATAATCGCCTTTTGCGTCGACGCTCACCTGAGCGTAACTCCAATCAGTCCTGCTGGCGTTCGCAAAGTTCTTCGCTTCCAGTCTCCAGATTACGATCCTCTGAATTTGCTCTGAGTTAGATAAATCCAGTAATACAACCTATCGAACGAGAAGAAAAAAAACATCATCATATATTTAAAAAAAATTTTTTAAAAAACAGAAGTTATTTTAAAGTAGAATGCTATAAAGGAGAGACTTAGGTTAATGCTTATTATAGTAATTTAAAATGAGGTGACTTAGAGTCGAGCATGTTTTTTGGAATTTAATTGCCTCTAAAAATATAACTAGAATAAAAGTAATAACTCAAGAATTCATTACCAGTCTCAAAAGCAGTATGAAATTGTGAGACAGACATTATTTCAACGATTACTATATTTAATGATTACGCTGTCAGCGTTGAACTAGTCAAATCTCATCAGGGAAATATATTTATGTTATTAATATCATTGAGGTATTAGTATCGTTACGGTAATAATGTTCCGATTCTTAGTATAATTACAAAGAGAAACTTTCATAACTTCCAGTATTCCGATTTTTAGTATAAACACTAAGAGAAACTTTAATGACTTTCAGTATTACGATCTTAGTATAATAACAGAGAGTTAATATAAATTAGTAAATATTAGAAAAAATTAATGTTTTACGCATATCCGGGGTGCATGCAGGTCAAAGTGCAACTGTCTCCAATATTTATTGCACAATATACATATCAAATAAACAGTTTACTATTTTTAAAATAAACTTAAACTTTTGAAAAAGTCATCATTAATATGAAGAGAAGCATGAAATAATTGATTTTAAATTCCCCTTATCTTTACTGCTTCTTCCATAATACTAATATCGTTCTCAAGTTTCTATAACGATGTTATTATAGTGCATAACACAAGAGTAAACGATATCTTCTTTGAATACAATAATAACTTGGTTTTTTTTTCCTTGATTTTTATATATAAAAAAAACTGAAAATATTTTCTCTATCCACTTACTCTTTTGACTTATATTTTTTCCGTTTATGTAGCAAAAAGTTGAGATTGAAATCAAAATAATGCTGACAATCAGCGAATTTCAACACTTAAAATAATTAGAAAGGTTTGGAATAAAATGTATTTTAAAACTGTCAATAATTATATTTATAATAACCAACTTACCTCCAAAGCAGTTGCGTCACTTCTTCCAAAGACAACGAACCAAAATCCCAAACATCTAACAGTACTAATGCTAAATTCTAAAATAGGACTTCGGAGTTTAGGTTTTTGAACAACACTTTTATGAAAAACGTCGAAAAATACAAATCCTACTGGTGATCGCAATGTGTGATCTAGAAGACCGGCCGGTTTATTCTCCACTCTGGCCATCTTCCACAAACTTTCTTCTACTGAATTCAACGTTTTTGGCTCCGTCGTTGGCGCAAGAGTAGATGGTCCGTCGTCTAAAACAGATACAGGAATCCATCCACACATATCTGTCTCGAAGAAACATTCACCAACAACCGCGGCAGCACCTAAAGGTTCAGTTGTGCAATCCCCGTCAAAGAAGGATACATCATCTATAGCTATATCACCAGCCCGTCCATCACCCCAAACACCTTCGAAAATGATTTCGAATGCCGTATCTGGTGGTGTTCTATCTTTGAGGCTAACTATTGGAGCCCTTGCTGGAAACCATCGCTCACCCTGGTGGTTATAAAGTCGCCAAATCGGTGAAAACGGCTTGCCTGGTTTCATCAGGCGAACGAAAACTTTTAAACTTCCTAAACTCATGCCATTTGGATCAATGAGTCTCTCATGCATGTAATAGTAGAATGATAAGCATTTGGGGTTCGCTGTTGGTTTCAGCCGTGAACTTACAAGCCATCCTTTTGTACCACCTTTCATCAAAGGAGATGTGTTTGGGAGAAGGTTCATGTAGTATCCTTTGTTGTCGCCTCTGGTGTGATCGACGTGAGGACCATTTTGATTGTAGAAATATTGCCTCGCCCAATCTACATCATCCAGTTCATCCTGCAATGAAAGCAGCAACATTTTAATTGTTATAAAAACAACTATATCTTTTTTGGTACTCAAAAGAAAACGTAACTTAGCTTAAAAATTTGTATGCTTTTTTGACAAAGAGCTTTTTGAAAAGTTTATTTAGTTCATTTCTGGCTTTATGAACTTATGATCATATAGATTAAACTAAGCGGAGCCATTAACAGATGTAGTAGATATGAATATGAGATAGATGTAGTATGATATTGAAAAGTCTAATAAAAAACATCATGTTCTATAGTTCGTCTGCGGTAAGAACTCCCCCCACCACAAAGTCTACGGCCGTCTGCTGCTTGGGAAATAAGAATAGCACATATAAGGAAGGGTAGCTTCTCTGCACTCTAGGGCTAATACAATAGACAGGCGAAAAAAATTCCTTTTCTCACGCAGGCCGTAACCAAAACCTGTCCTAAGCAGTGACCCCACACCCTTACTTGAAATAGTTATACCTCGTTACCATAGTCACCGCCACGGGTCCAGGCGAATGGCTATGGGAGTTCTTACTTTAGACAAACTATAGTCTTTCCCGTTGTTTTTGTGTTTATTATTATTTTAAAAATGAATTAGAAACTAGGTCATTAGCGTCTTAAATGATAAAAATGTTTCAAAATTTTCACGAGTAATATACCAAGACTGAGATGAAATCAAAAACTACAAAAAATAGTTTATTTTTTGATTAAAACTAAAAAGTGTTTATTAATGAATAAAAGCAAATAATTTATAATTTACAAATAAAAGCTGGACGCTTTTCAGCGTCATCTGATAAATAAATTGGTTTATGACGGCTTTAATTCTTCCTTTGTAATAATTAGCTTCAATATTGGTACGCCATATTCTGATGACATATTTACTTTTTTCTACCTAATAAAAATTTGAGATACTCTAATGAGTGTAAGTACATAACTTTTTTTAAACGAATTCAAAAAATATATATTGGAAGCGAAATATTCAAGTAAGATATTCAAGTAAATTTAATAAAATGAGCTTTTTCTCTTCCAGACAAAACACTTTTAGTTGATTCAGTATTTCTAAAATAACTTTAAAGATATAGAACATATGTGCAACGCGAGCCCTAAATATAAGATTCTTTTTTTCACATCGATGTTTTCCTTTCAATTAATTATTATTTTTCTCTTTCATGTAATTTCTGACTCTTACTATTAATATTTTCTACACATTTGAATTATATTGAATATTTTGAAATTTCTCTTTTAAAAATAAGAAACAGAGTCTAATTGAAATATTTCGTAAACATATAAGTTCTCAAATATATACGGTCTTGAAATTATCAAATAAATTAAATGTAAGTTTCTCAATGTGCTTTTCCTAATAACAATACTTTGTATAAATGAATTAGTGTTGCCAAAAATGAGAAAGTAATAAAACAATCAAGGTCAACTTTGATAGTCTAATATTTACTCTACTTATAGCCGCTTACAATACGTTAACAATAGCATCAGTCAACAAAAAAAAAACTATTATATGAACTCAAAATATTTCAAATTAATTTCAGTTTTTTTTTCTGGTTTCGATTGAAACAAAATTCAAGATGAAGTGTTATTAAAAGAGAAAATATCTTTCGAATGTGAAATGATAACCTGTGGGGATGGATTGTTCCAATTGCACATATTATCTTCAAAATTACAATCCCCGTTGTCTTTTGCAGCAGTCTGTGGTACAACAGGACATGCACCAGATTGAAAAGATATATCATCCACAGCTATATTACCAAACTGATTACCTAAAAAAGGAGAAAAAACCTTTTATTAATGTAGTCACCTCAAATTTAAATCAATTATTTTGAATTGTATTAATTAAAAATGTTCGTGTATGTCACTGTTAATGTATTCGTTCTTCCGTATACCCACTTATTGGATAGAATGCATAAAATCAACAGGTAAACAATGGAACGATTAATATTTCACTTTCACACATTGCCTAGTCGTTCTGTGGAATGACAATATATAAACCTAGAGACATACTATAGAATAACATTACTGAGATCTACAAGCATTCGTTAAAATGATTGGCTAAAGTATCTAAAAATTATCATATTTCTATACTTTGCCTACAGAGCATTTATCATTCAATAGATAGATTGGTATTTTGTTCTTTTATTTGCATGGCACTAGAACTGCATTATGAGCAATTGGCGACTATCTGGGAAACATCCCTGAGGATGATCCGAAGACATGTCATCGCAATTTTGATCCTCTGCAGACGGGATGGCTCCCTTTCTTTGGTAGCCCGACCACCTAAGTGTGAAGTCGAGCACTTTACAGTAAAACAGCTTAAAGAGGACCGATACCGTGCACACTAGGTCCCTACGCAGGCTAATCAAAGTAGTCACCCATCCGCTTACTGACCGCAGTCAGTGATGCTTGACTTCGGTGCTGTACTGGGAACCTTGTCTTTACTATCAGTCCACTACGGGACATCATTCAATAGTTTACCTAGGCATTCTATACTATAGCTCAAAAAAGTATGTATTCGCCGATTTCATGCAATGCCTTAAAATGTTAGCCATTCTATGCAATAACCAGGCATTCTTTGGAATGTCGGTATTTCATACATTGGTGATAACATAGATAACAATAAATGAACTGGTGACGGAAGCGGTTTCGGATAAAATTCATATAAAATTGATTACGCATACCAACAAACAACAAATATAGTACTTATTATTCGTATATGGTTTCATTCCTTAAGATAAGGAAACTTACCAACTATAGCTATCAACAATAATTGGAATGGACTCAGTGAAGAGAGTGTGACTTGTGCTTTGTGCCAGCTACTGCCAGAAGAACCGGACATCTCCCAGATTGTTTTATCGCTCTCATCCTCGTTTTTGAGCACCACACGCAAAGTACCCACTCCGTATCCGAACATATGAGTGGCAAATTTCATACACATCGGGCTGTTGTCCCCTGTAGTTGAGAAGCTTGGACTGCGAAGCATGGCTGTATCGCCAGGTCGCCTCGGATAAGCAGTGCTTATGTATGCGAATCCTGAAAATAAGCAGGAAAATTTTTGTTCAACAAGCGCCAACTGAATGCCCTTTTTTTATTTAATAAATTTAATTTCATTTATACCAGACAGCATGTTTTTTTCCGTAGCCCATAACAATTCTTAACACCAAAAAATAAATCAACTTGCTCCAGACCATATACATCAGAATTACATTAGATGCCTGAGCAGTGACTCAATTTACACAGATAAAAATAGGTCCTGAGCACTGGTGCCTCAGCACTCAGGCACACTGATCACTGATGCACTTACACTGATGCCTGAGCACTCCCTTATTTACAGTGATAGAACTCTAAATCAAAAGAAATAAACCATCCGACAAATTGCAGTAATTTTTTATCAGGCTTGAGCATCAGACAATAAAGACAGTAGAGATAACAGAACTGATTTCATGAATGACTTCGAACAAGCAGCAACCAATTATCATAAAATGACTTATTCTTCAATTGAGTTTTCTCACGTCTAGAGAATGTGCTGGCACACCGTTTCTAAGAAATAGTCATTATAAAGGAAGTTCTTCTCGTCAGCTTGGACTCTAAAGTGGAGTTTTCATTTATAAAAAAAATTATCTCGATTACTTAATGTTAATAATTTTGCTTTTATAACAGGAAACAGACTTCCCCACTGATTACATAAAACGGCCATCGTATTAATCAATGAAACATCACTACGAAATACTAGTCCTAAAACTTTAGTCAATAAAGTGGACCTAAAAACAATTATTTTGTTCATTCAAACTTTTATTTCGGGAAGACGCGCTTGTCATATATAAATAGCAAGTATAAAAGTGAAGCCTAAAGAAGAGGGCTTTTATATGGGGCTAAATCAAAAAATTTTGCTACTAGCCTGTAGCTATTTTTAGTATTTTTAACAGTAGTCACTATTTAAAACATGTTGCCATTTTTTCGAAAATTGAAAATTTAACCGATGAAACAAACTTTTAATATTACTGTTAATTTTACCCTATATTTTGAATCGATTTCAATAAAATCCATAATTTATTTTATTGACGAAAAATATGCATTTTATAAATAAACATGTATTTTATAGTGGAAAATATCCATATCCATTTCATTTCATAGTGGTATTTGTGATGAAAAGTGCTTATTACAAGTCATACAATTTTTTTTCCTTTCCTGCATTATATTTCTTACAAGTTGAAATGCTTACTTACTATTTCCCTCCTTAATGAACATCATGATTTTTTAAAAGTATTCAATTAATTTTTAATTAATTATTTTAATTATTAATAAATTAATTAATAATTATTAATAAGTATTAATTATTAATAAATAATTAACTATTAATGAAATTAATTAATAATCATTATTTAACTATTAATTAATTATTAATTAATTTATTAATTAATTTATTAATTAATTTATTAATTAATTTANTTAATTTTATTAATTACTTAAATTTATTAATTAATTTATTAATTAATTATTAATTAATTATTAATTAATTTATTACTTATTTTATTTTTATGTGCAGTTTTTTTTTCAAAGGGCAAATAATAGCTACCTACAATCAAAAATATTTCAAGATTCAATTTTCTGAAGAAAAAAAAAAATTTCGCTAAATATTATATCTGTATTTGTTTCTGAATCAATGTTGACTTTCAGAAAAGTGGCTTCAGAATGTGAGGCAAAACCACGAACCTAAATATTAATTATTTCTTACCACCGGTTTGTTCATTTTTTCCATAGCTACTGTGGTCTCGGGGTGGCCCGGTTATAAAATTAGTGCTTCCTCTTCCGAGTTCCCAATCGAAATCGTCTTCATCCATGTTTACCCAGTCGCAGAATCCACCTTCGAAAGTGCAGTGTCCTATACAGGCTTCTTTAGTTGGAATTCTATCAAATCTAACATCATCTAACGCAACATAACCTCTGCAAATAAAATAAAAAAACTTCCGTTAGCTTAACCTTATTTCAACAAATGAAAAGAATCTTTGGAATTTATTAAATACTAATAAGATTTAACTGTAGTAACATGGTTTCACTACTGTGAAATATTGACCGCATAAATACGCACTGGAACTTTAATTAAACAATGACATAAATAATGATGCAGAAAAAAAAAACAGTTTAGAGTCTTTTGAAAAAACCACGTAATGTGAAATTTTAGAAACATCTAAATTTTCTGTCGTAATAACACGCTATTGTCGAGATTGAATACAGCAACAACATTGAATTGCAATAAACAATGAAAAGACAATACAGCAACAATATTGAATTGCAATACAGTGAATTTGCAATAAACAATGAAAAGACAATACAGTAACAATATTGAATTGCAATGAGCAATGAAAAGACAATACAGCAACAAGATTGAATTGCTGGATTGTATTTTGCTATAGAGATTTGCAATCAGAAGGCAACTTTTTATTATTTCTACACATTCTACAGCTAGTTTTCCTCAAATTCATAAAGATATGAAGATATCTACTTTCCTTATATAGTAATAACACTATATATTTGTGCTGCATAAGTGAGATAAGTAAATAACAGTTAGTGAAAATCATACCGATGGAAAATAATTCGTATATTGAATCATACAGCGCAGTTGGTAAATAATTATCTTATTGTTGAGCTTCAATTTAGTTTTTAAAAAAATAATAATAAATTTTAATGCTTGAAATATTCCTGAATAAATTCCTGAGAAATCAAATTTTAAACATACAACTTTTTAAAAATTCGATTTCTCAGGGACTGATTTCTCACAAATTTTGTATTTTCCCATGTGAAATTAGATATTTTAAAATGATGTGAAAAACTGTTCACCTTACAACTCAATTTTTTTTTATAATTATTGCATAATATATATTTAGTAAAATAATAAATATTTAGTGAAATTTATTTTTTGGGTGGAATTACTTTAGGATAAATGAATTTTATAAATGTAATATAATTATATGTTTTATAATACAATAATGTTGTTTTATGTAATAATATGTTTTATGTAATAATATGTTTTATGTAATAATATGTTTTATGTAATATAATATGTTATGTAATATAATGATATGTTATGTAATGTAATTATATGTTATATAATTTAATGATATGTTATGTAATATACTGATACGTTGCTTTGTAAAATAATAATATGTTGCGTAATATTATAATATGTTTCATAATTAAAATAATTATGTACTTATTTAAACAGTTACTCACGAAACATTTTCGATATTATTCATGATATAACATTATATTGAAATATTTATTCATAAATGTCTAATCTTAATCTTAAATATATTTTGTTAGTTGCAATATATATTTAAAATAAACGTCATTTTTGAATAAATTATAATTCTTATAATTAATTGTTAAAAAGAAACAAAACATGTACTTCCAATATGAGTACCATTTCTAATTTATTTCTATTTTTATTTGCACACTTCTTTTTATTTAAGGTATTCGACTAGTTTCGACATCTTTTTTTTTAAATATTAATATAATTCTTTTAAAAACTAGTTTACTTGTTTTATTATGTCTAAGAACTTTATAAAACTAGCAAAAAAAAATATCATTGTTATTATTTTCTTTTTATGTGGCCATTTTTAGATTTAAAAAAAATAAGGCATGTTTTACATATACGAAACACTGTAAAAAAAATTCAATTGCATAAAACAAAATATTCTTTTAGGATTTTATTCAGAGAGCTATCAACTATGTTTTGAACTATTATCTTAAAGTCAAGTGCATATACTACTAAGTTAGGGATCAATGTAGTTAAAAAAGCAAATTTCTAAAAATTTCCGTAGTCGTCTTTGCAAAAATACATGAATAAAAAGAATGAAATTCTAATTTTTCAATTTTCATCTCTTAATGTGTAGTTTGTAGTTAACTATATTATTTTGTATCCAGCCCCTGAAATAAATCAGATCAGATTCGAAATTTGATCTGTAATAAACGCGTTTAAAGACTTAAAATTATTTATCTATCCAATGTTATCACTAAGAACACAGGAATTATAAATTTATACTAAACTCAATTTCAAAAATTTCGCTGAAAATCATGTTTTTATACTAGTCAGAAACCTAACAAAAAAACCTAACAAAAACAATTGACTTTTGAAAACTAAATTTCATTTACTATGCAAAACAGAAGCAGAATTTTAATTGCTATCATTTTTTCATAAAATTAATAATTTTTGCTTAATTATTTAAGTAAGATTTCTTACCTGTAATTCATTCTTTTGTAAGACTGATTAGAAGAAACAGCTTCGAATAGAATTTGATATTTTTCCCCGTAACTAAAAGCAACTTCTCCCATATACCAAGTTCCATCAGAGTTATCTTTGCTCTCCCATAGCACATAATCCTCAAGCTCCGAATTTCGAAGTATCACTCGGAGCGATTTAGCACTTAATCCTGCTATATTGTAGAAAAAAGAAAGACAAAGACCGGACGGTCCGGTGTGATTGTAATGCGGGCTGTAAATTACATTTGAAGTATAATTAGAATTCGAAATCACATTTTGAGACAGTTGGGATGTCTCATAAAAAATATATCCACTGTTTTTGTCTGCACCCGTATGATCTGTGCTTGGCCCACCTATCCAAAACGATGATGCTCCCATACCTGATCGCCATAAAGTCGGTCTTCCGGAAAAGTTTTCCGGAGAATTCCAGGAACAGGTTGTTAATCGTATTACTGATCCGAAATCACACATTTCTGGAATTTCTTCAAGATCGAAATCCCTTCGAGATCGATGTATTGCCTTTACCGCATCGTTTGAAAAAATAGAATGAATGAAAATAATGAATGCAGTCGTAAATATGTAATAGTCTGTCATTTTTTTCTTATTACTTTAAAAGAATAAACTTTAAAGTCAAATTTATATCCTCGGTACTATATTATAGAAATAGTGTTACAATCGTTTGCTAAGACAATATTCTTGCGCGCTTTTGGGATAATGGAAAATAAACTCTTTTCACTTCTGGTAAAGAACAAACTTTAAACTCAAATTTATATTCTTCGTAGTACTTTTGAAAAAAAGTGTTAAAATCGCTTGCTATGACAATCTTCTTGTTCGCATTTGGGATAATCGAAAATAAATTTCTTCACTTGTGGCTGAAATTTTCGAATAATTCTTGAACGATTTCTCTTCATGTTTTCTGAACGATTTTTTTTTTAAACTCAAAAAGGGTAGACAATTTTTTTTAATAATTTCTTCTTGACATTAGAAACATTATCACGACAGCTTTCTTTTAAAACTAATTTTCCGATATTTACTTTAACTTCCACAAATCAACAAAACTAATAAAATTCGTTTGACAAGGAATTTAAAGTACTGCCGTAGATTGATTTCAAAGAGTAACTGGAAGCCATTAGTAAACGTTTACCCACTAAACTACATTTCAGTATAGAAAATACATCAATAGCATAACTTTTTTTATTATCTTGTTAAAGTGAAAAGCAATAGATGCGTGCCCATTGCTAAAAGTTTGTCGTCCTTTTTTTTCCATCCTAATGATTGAACTAAATGCATGTTTATTTGAGGAGAGGGAAAAGTTATAACAACACGCTAACCGGAATCAATTCTACTTTTTTACGGTTAGTGCTTTAGATTTTATTTTTCTATTTCCCGTAACCATTTAATTCCTTTTTTTTATGTAAGAAAAAAAGTTTTTTTTCGTCGGATGCATGTAAAACAGGAAAGGATATAATCTTTTGTGGTCTTAGTGAATTCAATCGATTTGCTCTGAGCTAAAAACGCTACTTTAACAAATAATATAAATCTGCTGATCTGATAGCTCGCTGAACTAGTGCTATTCGTTTGTTTAAAATAAATTTCATGGAAATTAAGTTTGAATTGTTTCAATTTATAAAAGACGATCCTCCGTTATTTCGAAGTAGCATGGATATGAACGCGTTTTGCAAATTCCACATTAATTCTTTCCATGTAAAAAATCAATTAAAAAACGTGTAGTATTTAATAAATATAAGGGTGGAAACTTTTTCCAAATATTTGAATAACAGCATATTGAAGTTAACTAACATGTTTAAAAAGTAGATCTGGAAGCCAATAGTTCTAAAATATCAGAAAGCTATTCAGAAAACAACTTTTACTACTGAAGACTGTCTTGCCTTATAGACCAATTTATTGTTCTACTTGCGTCTTGCACAAGACTACAACACGTTTTTTTCTTCTTTTTTTTTTTTCGTTTTTTTTCTTCGGAAAACTGTCTTATATTAAGAGTTGGTAAAATAATTTTTTGTTCTAGGTTTGTTTTGTGAGTTCTTAAACTTGGAGAAATTATGTTCTCAAAATACTACTTAACGAGCATTCTTTTCGGATTTATTTAAAAAATTTATTTATAAACTGATTAGTTTTAATATGACAAAAGATTGGTATGAAAAATTATTAAAACTGTATTATAGTAAAAAATAAAACATCATATGGTAAAAGAGTGACATCATGAATTTAAGAAAACACATTTTAAATATAAATTCTCCGTATTATTATAATTTTTAAATATCTAGACGCGTGCCATACTTCTAAAATAAACAACAATTATATTTATATATATTCTGTCAAACTGTAAAACAAAAATGGAAAATTTATATACAGCAAAAACGTTTCGAAGCAGTGCGTTCTTTAAAAAAATACCTTCAAAATATATTTTTGAAATATTTGTCCAAAAAAAAAACGCAAATATGTATTCATTGAAAGTCTCAAATTAAACATAAACAAAATACGAAGGAAAGCGAGACCAAAATAATTAAACTAGCTTGATTAACTGAAGAATAACAGAGAGACTATCTGACAGAACTGAAAGGTTTATAATATTTTGCCCTAACTCCTTCATCAAGCTTTCGCAGTAATGTTTTAACGTTCAACGTCCTCTAGTGACGTAATCGTTTAAGACGTTTCTCAATGGTTGAGAGCTGGGAGTCGTGAGCTCGATCCTAGCGAACAGCTGGCGTTTACACGCATCCAAGTTCACACAAATTATATAGTGAGTGGTTTCTTCGATTATAGAGAGAAAGTTTGGAAAGAGGGTTCACGCCGTCTGGTTTGTCCCAAAATGACTTGACTTTCCAACCATGAATGTTAGAAGATTGAACCCGGAAAAACGGACTGTAAGTGATGTGGGGTGTTTTAGTGTTTAATCGCGTCAGATTTGATAATGTTTCGTCCGATTTTGATAACGATTTTTTTTCCTCTCATTTAAATAACAGTTTGTGATTCCTCACTTGTCTGTATGGCAATGTAAGATGTGTCAAGTGCAAGTACAAAATTGTGCTTTTTGTACTTAAACGCTTATAACTATTAATCTGATCAACTCTTTATTAGTTGCATTCAATTTAACGTACAGATTTACATAGGAAACTATACATTTTCAGATAGTCCCTAGATAGCAATATAAGGTATATATTCGTATATTCGCATATATTCGTATATATTCAATATATCATTCCTACATTTTAAAAGAAGTGCTTTTTATACATAAAAACACTTGCAACTTTTGAACTATTTGTTCCATTGACTTGTGTATAGCTAAATTCAATTCTGCTTTAAAAAAAAATAATCCCGCAGTGGACTGATTGTTAAGACACGGTTCCCAGCAGATCACCGAAGTTTAACATCACTGGCTGCTGTCAGTGCGGGTGGGTNTATTAACAGGTTGAGAAACACTTCTATAAGTGCAATCAGTTACAGTTACCTGCTTTTAGTCATCTTTTCTCTCTGTGCATAATTTTTCCCGCAGTGGACTGATCGTTAAGACACTGTTCCCAGCAGATCACCGAAGTCAAGCATCTCTGGCTGCTGTCAGTGCGGGTGGGTGACCACTTGGATCAGTCTGTGTAGGGACCGAGGGTGAGCGGTATTGGTCCTCGTTAAACTGTTCTACCGTAAAGTGCTCGATTTCACGTGCAGGTCGTCGGGCTACCGAAGAGGAGGTGCCATCCCCTCCGCAGAGGATAAAAATTGTAATGGCATGTCTTCGGATCATCCTCAGAGATGTTTCTCAGACCGTGCTATTGTGCAGCTCTAGTGCGACCAAAATAAACAACAATTACAACATCAGCTTTAAAAAAAAATAGGCAACAATATTTTATTTACTTCGATAGTAATATCATGTGTGTAAATAGGTACAAGTACTAATTTGTAAACATAAAACGTAGTACATAAAACAAGTAAATAAAACGTTTATAACTTTTAAACTATTAGTCCGATCGTCTCGGGATTGGTTTCGTTCAAATCAATTCAGCGTGAAGAAATTGCGTTGGAGATAATGCCTCTCTTGCCTGTTTGGAAAAAATTCAATTCTCTCCCTCAAATCACCCTTATTTCCCTCCAAAAAAGGAAGGGAGGGGGAGAGAGTAGGGACTTTTTTAAAAAGTTTTCTTTTCTTTTAATATCTTCGAAATCTGGAATTATGTTTAGATCCAAACAATTACGTTTTTACTTAATATTGCGGTTACCTTTACGAAATTATTTAAAATAAAATGCCAATAAAAATAAATGGCAATATTTTTTTAAATATATACATAAATTTTTTATTTAATATGCATTGAATAATGTATGAAAAAGGCATGCATTTATAAGAGTTTGCATAAGTATTTTCATCGCGTTTCCCGAATCAAAGTAAAATAACTAAATTCGCTCATAAAAAAATAGGTTTCCAAAAAAAAAAAAAAAAAAAAAAAAAACATTTTCCCCGTTTAGAACAGTTTTTTTAGTTTTCATTTCAACGAAAACCATATATTTTCAAAATAAATATATTGGTTAATACCTTATATTGGTTAATACCTAATTAATAATGTCTTAGTAAACTTAATTTATATAATCGGTATTCCGCCGAAAGAAGGTTGATCATTAAGGGTTCTATAGCCGCAAAAAAATTGAGAAGCGCTGTTTTAGAGCATATTTTATTGCAAGATATTGTTAAAATAATAATAAAAGCAGAAAACAATAAAATTCGAATAATTCGCAATTTAAAAGAAATTTAAGTGAATATTTGAAACACTCTGCCATAAATAAAATTTTATTACAGATTATCCATCTAACAAGAACATAATCTGGAACAACAAAAAATGTTCATTTTGATTAACTCTACGAATTGTAAAAATCACAAATCACATATTTCAAAAAAGTTTCCTTTTTGAACGATGATGAACGATTGTTTCTTTTTAACCTTTCCTTTTTTTATATTTAATTTTAAATCAATGATATTAATTGGGAAACTTTCAACTGTCGAACGATTTTTATTTAATTTTTTATGCTTCACCCTTTTTGAAATGGAAGTTGTAGTAGAATCAGTTATGCCCTCTTCTATTTTCGCACTTCGTATAGCATATTTAGAATAAATTCTGGGGTTTTGAGAACCAGAAGTATTGTTTTCAATTTTAATTGTCGAGTCATTTTGAATTATCTCTAATAACGTGAGTGGCTTCAATTCGTTTAAAATGTTTTCTAACTCGTCAGAATTCTCAATTCTTGGAGATTGATATTTTTCATTCTTCATTTTGAAGATGTTCTCTAGCTGAGATTCAAATTTTTTTCGTGCATCTTTCGTGTAACCGAACATCTTAGTTTAACTAAAGTAAATCAGAAAATTATTAGTTTTTAAATTTTGAATATCTTAAATTCAAAGACAAACTATAGATTTAAATTAGTCATAAATTAGGCAATAGTAAACTAGGTATAAATTAGCAGCAAGGAAAAAATTTTTTAAAAAATATGTCCGAAAATATTTTTATTAGTGTTTGGAGGGAACAAATTTATGTCATTAAATTGGTTGATATGATTGATGAAGACAAAACTATTAAGCTAAAGACAATACAAGTGTATAACTCACTTTTCATATGAGTACTATTAAATGGTTTAAAAATCTCTCCAAAAAATGATGTTATATTTCATTTTATTAGATATATATATATACATATTTAGAGCAATGTAAAATTAATTACAAACTTTTTGCTTAAAAGTTTGAGAAAAATTCGTCTAAAACTGCGTAAGACATGAGGTATTGAAGTAGTTCATTTCTTCTGCGCATGAGCGTGAAAATAAAGAAATTTTCTCCTTAATTTTGCAGTGAATTGTATCTGGCAACAAATAAAAAAAAAGTTCGATTTGAGTATCTTAAAAATTTAAAAGGTTTAAAACAATTTTCTAAGTAGGGGAGAGTGGGGTCAATTGTAACATTTTTTACTTAACTATTTTTAACTAACAAAAAATCCAATGTATTATTAGTATTAACTGACAGAGGAGTAAAGTAGACTATCCTCTACTAGAAAAAAAATTAATACCTTATTTCAGATGCTATTATATTAGTTATTAACAATTTTTGACAGTCGTGCACTTGTTACAATTGTCCCCACTTACGGGGTCAATTGCAACAGTTCATAAATTCAACTAAAACATAGTTAATTATGCATATTATCATAGTTGTGATATATTTTTTTATTGATCAAAATAGTAGTGATATTTTAGGAGAAAAAATAATAATGAGCAGAGACCTAAAGGGTTAAACTTTTAACTTTAAAGGGTTAAAAACTTTAATTTATGCTGTGAAAGGTGTAAATAGATATAGGAAACTATTGGTGGTTCTTAAAGAGCTAAGTAATGGTCTGTAAACGTAAGATTATTTATTTTCAGCTGTTACAGTCGCCCCTTTACTTATTGTTGCAATCGTCCCCTAGACGCCATTTCAGCTTCGTTTGTTAAAAACAATGCTAGTTAACTAACAAAACTAATATTTTTTTTAAATGTTAATTAAGGTGTCCACTTACATATTCGGTTAATAATTTTCACTTGTTTAAACAAAATTACTTTGCTACAATATAATATTCTAATACCAAAAAAAGTACTTACGTAGCGTGAAAATATCTTTTGTGATGTAACTCTTTCAAAAGTACATAAAAATGGTTACCAGTAGGGGTGTACAAGTAGATTTATTAAATACACCTTGTACGCCACCTAGGAACCAAACCTAGAACCAGACACTCGAAATTTTTGCTGTTACAATTGACCCTACTCTCCCCTACTCTTCCTTCTTTTTGAAAGAATGCTCAAAATGATAAGAGGTTTTCTACATATTTAATTTTGCACTATTGAACAAGATTGGATAAAAATTACAACGGCATTCTTGAGGACCATCCCCCATAAAAGTATAAATTTTTTTGCCAGGTCACATTCCTTATTAAATCACAATTTGGTGTATGAACGTTTATTGTAAGGTATTATCTTTGTTATTAAATTCTGTCTTATGATGCAAAATTATATTTGTAGAAAACCCCTTATCATTTTGAGCTTTCTTTTAAAAAGTACGAAAACTACTTTGAAAATTGCTTGAAACTTTTTAAATTTTTAAGATATTCAAATCGGGCTTTCATTAGTTGCCAAAATAAAAGAATTTTTTTTTTTAAAAAGTTTTTCCCGTGCATGCGCAGGATAAAAGAACTACTTTAATTACTCACATCTGTTATCTTGAGCACTTTTAAACGACTTGTTTTCAAATTTTAAACGAATGTTTTTGTTATTTGAAATTACAAAAATATAATATGTTTTTATTATAAAAATTACTCTAAAATTTTTAAAGTCATATCAAACAAACGTAAAACAAAAAAAAACAAAAAAAATAGTTTTTTAAAAAAATGTTCTTACCATCATAAATATATAAGTTAGGTTTACGAAATTTTGTGCAATTATTGCATATTATAACCTAAAATATCTGCCACAAGTTACAAATCTATTGCTACATATTTTGAAATAAGACTTCAAAAACATTATTTTCCGTTTGTAATTTATTGTTGGACCCTTGACGTTATAAAATAATTCCTTAAGTATTTCTGGAAAAATATGAAAAAAATTAATCGGTACAGAAGTGTTTCCATTTTTCTGTTCACTCCCTGTTCATAAAAAGAAAAAACACGTTTAACAAATGCATGTGTTCGTCTGCTGCAAGGTTTTTTGTTAAAATATGCTATTTTAAAATTTATTCGTTCTTTTTTTATGACCTTCGTTCTTTTTTACCATTGTTCTCTCGCTTTATCAAGAAACAGTCATAGTAATGGTTGCCAAAGCAATGCACTATTAATAAAAAATATCTTAGTTCATTTTTTAATCATTTATGTTTTTAATACAACTCAACTTGTATTCTTTAAAACAGCTAATCCATGCTTCTTTGGCTGGATATTGTCTTAAGCAGATTCTCATGGTATAGATGTAAATAAAAAATTTTAATAAGTTAAAATTTTCTTTATTTTCCATCCTTTTAGCAATGTTTTTTCAAGTAAAAATGCCTTATAATCAATGCTTTCATCAAAATATTAGATGAAGATATTTAATCTAAAATCCATTAATCATCTATCCAATCAAATATTGCTTTTTAAACTTATAACGTCATGAAGGTGTGTAACTGTTATAATGTAACAGTCAAATAATAAGTTTTGTTGGCCTAATTTAGTCTAGTATGTGGCTGAAAAAGATCATTATTATTCTACTGTTAATAGTTTTCGCTAGACTAAGTCAGTTTTCGAAAGAACCGAAATAAAATCCAACATTGTCAATAAATAAGTCAACTAATGCTTTCCTATTTAGTGTTAGAATTCAGAGCAGTTAAAGTGTTCTAAAATTTACACAAACGTAAAATTGATGTTTTTAACAACAAAAAAAGTTTCAAATTGGCTTAAAAAAATACATAATACATAGACCTAGGTTATACTATTAATAATTGACTAAGTTAGACCAAATCGGCAAACCTAAGAATCTTCAAAAAGTCAAAAGCGAGAAAGAGTTAATAATATGTCATTCCTGTCCAGACTGGCACAGCCCAAGAGATGGTCAGGGGAGGCCTTCGCATAGTTACAATTATTACACATTGAAAAAGTTTTCTGCCTCTTATCAAAAGAAACGTATTTAATGTGTCCTCGTGCGAGCCTACTAATAGTGGACTGGACGACTCTATAAGTCTTGATGGTAAAGGCACTACTTAGATCTTCCTGTGTACATCCATTTTTATTTTATTACCGTCGTTGAACAGCCGACTCAATTTTTGGGTTCACGGCTACTAATGTTCAACTCCATAGCAATGCAATTTTGAACTCGATTCCGAAGACAAGGGATCAAGTATTGGAAGAAATTTGCTGCCATGGAAGACTTTTTGTTGGAACTAACCCGCATTTGCATTACATGGAGAGGAAGACTACGAGAACCTCCCATAGTTAGCTTGACAGCAAAGGGACTCTAATCCATGATCCGTCGACTAATGAGGATATTTCACGTCAGATCCGTGGTATGTGTAAGCCGGATGCGGATTCGTTTCGCTAGGATTCGAACAAGGTTCACCTAATTGGAAGGCGAACGCTCTGTCCCCTAAGTCATCACGGCTCTGTGTACATCCATTATCATGATCAGGGAATTTTTTTGCCTCACCGTTAATCAGAATTAAAATAATGATTGGGTCCCAAGCACCAAAATCTAGCCAGCCCAAGTAAAAATTAGGGTGAAGTAATCACTCCAACCAAGTTTATTAAATTTTTAAAAAAAATCACTTCTCAAAGTTTTGAAATTAATTTAAGCATTTTCGAGGACACTAAGCATTTTCGAGGAATTCTTAACTACCCTCTCATATTAAGTTAGGAATATTTTGACTCACTAACTAACTCATCATATCAACGCATTGTAGTTTTGAAATGGGGAAAAATTTTCGTTTCGCAACAATCCAGTGACTGATCTGTGCTAGGCTTGTCATTTATTTTCAATTCTTCAGACAAATTTTATAATACTATTTTCTGATGAAATGTTAAATTATTTATATCAATTATTGCGTTTTTTCTATAATTTTTTTTTAAAAAATTTACCCAGGTTATAAATTTTAAAATATAACCAAAAATAACTATGATGGGCTAGATATCTAACATGCCTTGTCTTCAAAAAGAAAGTTTTTTTTTTTTTGAAATTTGAGTCTTAAACAATTACTTTATATTAATTTACAAAATATATTAAATAGAGAATAATAAGACACAGCAGTACAGAATTATTACTGCTAAGACTTTTAAAAAGTGAAATTTTAAAATATAGTTTCAGAAGGAAATTCAGCACTCATGCTGCTAAGAGTTTAAATTATGAACCAATTGCCTTTTTATCTTTTTTCTTTAAGCGTAGTCATGTTTTCTTTATGTCCGTAGCGCTTTGTCATAATGAATTTTAATATGTTTAAAAAAGTCCTTGTTTCGTTTCAAGGCTTAGCTAGGTCAGTATCTTAATTGGTTTAATCAGTTTTTCTTGTTTCCTTAGGTATATCAGAATATTAAGAAATAATTTTTTTTAAATTTTGGGTAATGCCAACAGAAATATGCTCTTTATTCCTGCTCTCAAATTATTAATACATACCACATTAAGGATTAAGTTACTTAACTATGCATTATACTAGATTTTATTAGTTAAGCTAAAAAGTTTAATTATAGACAAGGAATAATAAAGTAATAAGTTTACAAGTTAACCATAATGAACAACTGAAGTAATAAATTTCTAAATGTAAAAAAAAAATTAAAAAAATTTATTAGGCAAAATTTTTTTCGCATAAATACATAAATATTTGGCAGTATTTTATTTATTTATTTTTTAACCTAAATAAAACATCAACTTTTCTTAGGAGTTTCTTCTTGGCCTGGAAATTCTTGTAAGGACATGTCATCTAGTTCCGCGTCTACCTTCAGTCTTTTGGACGTCTCTTTTTCGACATGAGGTGAAACTTGATCAAAGAGTCTTTTGCTGCATTTTCTCAATCCCGTTCGAGCAGTGGGGCTGGTTAAGTATTTTGAAAACAATTTCAAGGACAGTCTACGCTTACTCTCTGGGGTGTACTGACAGTGAAAACTACAGCTAGGTACAGGTTGGGGCTCAGGTTGTACAAATTTGTTAGTTTCTAACTCATTCAATTGCTTCAGAAGCTCACACTGAGCGGTGTCTACAAAAGAGATGCATAAATATAAAATTATGTTTATAATATTTAATAAATCAATACACTGAGTCACATTTTTAAAAAGCACATGAATTATACACGTAAAAATTAGATACAAAAAATTGCTGAATTCATTTTTAAAAAGAAATAAAATATACTAGCACAATACTTAATTTAAAAAATTAAATTTAAATTTAATTTTAAAAAAAAATTCCTAAAATAAAGATACACATCGTCTTTACCAATATTCGAACATTGTTGGAGAAATAGGTGAAAGTAAAAAAAAAGTCTTATACAGGTAGAATTAAATGTTAAGTTTAATGGTCGATCGACATATGTTAAACATTTTAAAATTTTACAAATAAATCATAATTTGCCAAAAAGTATAAAAAATACAGTAGAGCGATGATTAGTTGAACAAATCAGGGTCAAAGCCGATCCAGATAACAAAAAATCTAAATAAGTAAAAAACTTTAAAAAACAGTTATGAGAATGTAATTAAATTACCTCCTTTCACACTTTTTACAGGTGTAAAACTGGCAATGGTAGTAGAGCCTATTACAGCATATTAAAAATGGCATGTTTAAAAGATTTAAATTTTGTAACATTTCACCTTTTACAAAATTGACCGACAAAATATGTTTCAACGATTGAGAGAGAAAATTTCAAAATGAGTTTAATTTCCTTATTTCTAATTCTTGAAAGAGTAGAAATGGGCTCCTTTACAACAAACTACTTGCCAGTTGTCACCCACATTGAAACTAAAGAACGAACAAGAGGTTCTGTTCAAGGTTACAAAAGGACAAAAGAAGCAATTTTTTTACCACTTTCAGATATTCTGAAAATAAAGGATTCTAGCGGGGGGGGGATTTGGAAAAGGTGGAGGGAAATACATGATCCTTGAACGATTTGGATAATTGGACAATCCGATAAATCAACGTTTGGATAATCGGCACTCTACCGCAGTTCTATCTGCTTTGCTTGGAACTTAGAAGCAATTATTCTCGGGCATAATTGCTCAATAAAATAAAAAGATCCCAAATTTTTTGTGAATTTTTGTATCTACATGAACAATTAAATCAGTTCAGTTCTCATTATGATTTGAGATAAAAGAATGTAATGCGTGGAATCTAGTGTTGCTTAATAAAAACAGAGTGAGTTTGAGTTACAATTAAACAGAAAGGAATTGCAGTTTTGGGGTGTTGGTAAGAGCAGCAAGAAGGGGCAGCCTAATAATTAAATTTTAATCAACCTATACAATGTAAACAATCAGAAAAAAAATCGTTTATTAAATCTATTACAAGAATTTTAAAGAGAGAAAAATTAAATAATGTTTATTCCATACTTTTTGCACTCTTATTGATTTTCGGAGATTCAGCTATTTCTGTAAGTGAAGTCTCTGAATCATCAGTATCCATAAAAGACTTTCTTCTTTGTAGAGCAGAAAGATTTTGCTTTGAGGTTGGTGTTTCAGGAACAAACTTCGTTTTAAGAACGTGGTGAGCTGAAACAAATATACAAATAATTTACGACATTTATAATTATGACATTTACAGTGTAAACATAAGCTGGTAAAAATTACACAAATCCCTTATGACATTTAAAAAAACAATGAGCTGAAAAAATTGAACCAATTAATTATGATATTTACAATAAAAACATAATAAGCTAGAAAGATTACACAAATCAGTTGTGACATTTACAATTAAAATATGATGAGCTAGAAAAAATACACAAATGAATTGCGACATGTATAATAAAAGAAATGAGCTGAAAAAATCATAACTCAATTATGACATTTACAATGAAAACATGATAAGCTAAATATACACAAATCAATTATGACATTAATAATTATGACCTTTACAATGTAAATATAAGCTGTAAAAATTCACATGAATCACTTATGACATTTATAATAATAACAATGAGCGGAAAAAATTACACATGACATTTACAATAAAAACATGATATGCTGGAAAAATTTCACAAATCCCTTATGACAATTCTAATAAAAATATGATGAAAAAATTAAACAAATCAATTACGACATTTATAATAAGAACATGAAGTACAGAAAAATTACGTTAATCAATTATGGTATACAAATTTTAAAAAGATTAGGGTGGAAAAATTTACACAAATAAATTATGGCATTAACAGAATAGACTGGCCACAAACATCAGTTTATGGAATAAAAATTCTGAATATTTTTAAAGTAATCCAAAAATGATTAATGGGCAGTAGCATATTATAAAAACTTCATTTCACACTTGTAATAACTAAATTTGTTTCACTGACAGTAAAGCATTATTTTTAAATATCAATGATCTAGAATCACATGGTCTGAACAAAATTGTAAAGTTTTGAGAAAGGTGAGTCTTTGAGAAAGGTGATCTGTGCATAATCAAATAGACGAGTATTTTTAACAAACACATAATAAGTAAATTTCAACCATTAAGTTTGGTGAGTGGTTGCAAACCAACAAATTTTTAATGTGTAGCAGTAGACAAAATTTTTTAATTCTAATTTATTAAATTATTAATACTTAACCTTTTGCTACCACTAGGAAAAATATTTTCTTAATCCCTATAAATTTTGCAGTTGTTGGAAGGTATGAATATACATATAAAGAAAATTTTCTACAATACAAACAATATATCAACATAAAATTAATGTGACATTTTTAAAATGCAACGCAATGAAAAGATAGTTACGCACTCAAGTATTTTAAATTAATGCTACAGTTTAAATTTAAAACAGTTACTTACATTTGGGAGTACGCATTCTTTTCCTTTTATAGGGAGAGCGACTGTACTTAGGAGTTGAAAGCTTTTGATCTTTTGGAAATAAGTTTCTGCGAACATTAATGGCATTCATGCTGCAGTTAAGATTTCTTTCTTTCCTTCTTTTTGATGACAGCCGAGGGGAGTAGCGTATTGGAATGTTTTCAGCACCCGGACACAAGTTCTTATACTATAAGAGTGAATAGAATTGAATATAATGCAAAAAATAAAAGAACATTAGAAATTGTGGGATAAATAAATAAAAATATTTAGAATGATTTGAGTTGCATAGTTGAAATATATACAACTTCATTTTTGTATACATTGAAAATATTTAAAGTGGCGTACATAAATAAAAATATCCTGACTGATTTGAGTTGCATATTTGGAAAAATATACAACTTCACAACATTTTGAAGGATGCATACATTGGAAATATATTTTGAAGTAGCATACAAGGATGTTTTCTGCTCCTAAGCTATAGGTTCTTATAATTTCAGAATGGGTGAAATTAATTATAATGGAAATAATAAAATAATAGAAATGGTGGGATAAATAATGAAGAAATATTAGAAATGTTTCTATAAATTAATAAAAATAGTCTGACTGATTTGAATTGCATATTTGAAAATACAACTTCACAACATTTTTAAGGGTGTATACATTGAAAATATTTTGAAGTAACAAACAAGGATGTTTTCTGCTCCCAAGCTATAGGTTCTTAAAGTTTTAGAATGAGTGAAATTAATTATAATTGGAATTAATAAAATAATAGAAATGGTGGGATAAATAATAAAGGAATATTAGAAATGGATGGATAAATAAACAAAAATATCCTAACTGATTTGAGTTGCATAATTGAAAAATATACAACTTCAACATTTTTAAAGATGTATACATTGAAAATATTTTAAAGGAGCATACAGGGATGTGTTCTGCTCTCAAGCTATAGGTTCTTATAGTTTTAGAATGAGTGAAATTAATTATAATGGAAGTAATAAAAGAATAGAAATGGTGGGATAAATAATAAAGAAATATTAGAAATGGTTGGATAAATAAATTAAAATATTTTGACTGATTTGAGTTGCATATTTGAAAAAATATACAACTTCACAACATTTTTAATGATGTATATATTGAAAATATTTTGAAGTAGCATACAAGGATGTTTTCTGCTCCTAAGCTATAGGTCCTTATAATTTTAGAATGGGTGAAATTAAATATAATAAAATAATAGATATTGTGGGATAAATAAAAAAGAAATATTAGAAATGGTTGGATAAATAAATAAAAATATTTTGACTGATTTGAGTTGCATATTTGAAAAATAATTTTAATATTATTTCAAAAATATAATACGATATTTTTCTGAAATTTGCAGCAGAGTGGTAACAAAACTGTTGCTTGAAGATTAACATTTGATATAGCAAGTGTTTTTAGAAGAGCGGAACACCCTGCCTACTACCTTTTGATGCGCCCTCTTTGCCCTTTTTGTGAAAATAAGCCGACATCCCTTAAAAACGTTGTGTTTTTATTCATATTCAATTTTAAAAAATTAATTAACTACTTAAATAATAATTACACACTGGTAAAATTATCTATGTTAATAAGTTTAATACTGATTACTGTTACACATGATTCATTTGTTAGAATTCTTCTCAAATATTTAAATTTTTACAATTTTCTCTTTTCCTTTTTCAAGAAAGGGTATATTAATGAATTTTTTAAGTAATTTTTAATTTTTTAAATTTTTTAAATAAATTGTTTGTTTGTTTTTTTGTACAAAAAATGCACCTTTTAATATTTATTTTTCCATAATTTTCAGTTTAAGTTATAGAAAAAAGTTTTTACGTCATTTATCAATTAATATTTTTTTAATTTTTTTTTAAAACTTTTTTCGAAAAAATTTGTGCACAGTGATTATTGTCTTTTAGCACTTTAATTAATTTTTATAAACTACCATTGTTCTCTTATTTTAATGAGTAAGAATAACTTTTTGAAATACACACATAAAATAGTATAAAAGGGTAATTTAAAATTGTTGAGGATCAAACTCAGCTATTATATAAAATTACACATTGATAAATTTTTACGGTTTAAAATGAGTGCCCTTTCAAAACTCAGAGTGCTCTATTCTGTGAGTAAGTGCCCTGCCCTTTTAAATTCCTTGGCAGAACTCTGGACACAGATCTGCCATTTTAATATTTATGAAATACATTTTGTGTGGAAAAAAGAATTATAATACAGGTGAATTTCAATTTCATAGGGTTGCAAAATTTAATTCCCCTTCCAGCGTGCGGCGAAAGCAATGCTAAAAAATATGTCAAAAGTGGTTATTGAGAAAAAATTGCCTAACATAAACGTCAGGTACATAATAAATCAGTTTTGTAGAACTGATAATTTTAAAAAACTATTCGAAATAGACGGATCTATAAATAACGAAATTCTGAGTACTTTGAGTTGCATATTTGAAAGATATACAACTTCAAAATTTTTAAGATAGATGGATTAAAAATGTTTTGAAGTAGCATTTAGGGATATTTCTGCTTTCGAATTATTAGTCCCGATAATAATATAAAAATGAGTGAAATTTATTGTAGTGGAAAAATTTTTTAAAAAACTAGTAATGGTGGGATAAATAGCTACAAAAATTCTAACAGATTTATTAAAATTGTCCGATAAATTACTTCATAAATATATTCAGATTGCAGAACTATACACCAACAATTTTATTTTCCATAAGAAAACTGACAGTAAAACATCAGAAATACTTTTTTAAAATTTTGACACAATAGATTTTAGACAAAACATTTTGGTTCAATTCTATAAAAGAATGTAATGAGACAAAAAAATCAAAATATTAATTTTTTTTTAAAAATTATATAAATATTTTTCAAACCTTAAAATCAAATTCATAGTTCTGTCATTAATTTGATAAAAACGTTTAAACAATATAATATGGCAAAATCATCTAGTTTTTATTTTATTTTAGGATGAACAAATAAAAAAGAAATTTACCTTCTTTTTCCTAGGTGAGGATCTTGTTAAAAGAAACTGTCGACTTTTAATGTTATTCATAATGTCATTCCGACAAACAACTTTTCTAAAATACAAAAACTTCATATAAGCCTGAACATACATAAATGAAATGCGGTTAAAGCATGTTTCAATTCTAATTATAACATTCAACAAACAGTCTGAACTGGATTTTTCAAGTTTTAATTTAAAAGACACATAATTTTGAATTAATTAAAAGCTTTATGTAATAATCCCTAAGGAAATGTATTTTTCTTCTTTAACATCTGAAGCCTTGTACAAAATAATTGATTTAAAATTTTCAATATTTTCACAATTTTTTAAGTTAAATTAACTAAACATAACCAGTAAAAATTTAATAAACATCAATTAAAGTCTAGTGGACGATTCCAGTGGGCGATTGATAAATACTTTCAACCACAATGTGGAGCTTAGACTGAATAGCCCATTACCATAATTAAGCAATCATAACAGATACAACCAAAACAGAAGAATTAAGGAGAAATATAAATGCAAGAGAAGAAAGAAATACGATGAATAAAATATTCAAAAATCAATAACTTCACAAAAAGAGATCAACAACTTTAAATAACCAAAAAAAGGTATACTTTGTGCTATGTAGACAAAAGAAAAAAAAGCAATCTCATTAAAACACAAATGAAAAAACAGAAATGGACATACTATAGTTTTGGGTATTATAAACAAGAACATTTCACAGTGTTCAAACATGAAATAAGAATAGAGAAGTGCAAAGTAATTTAACCTATAAATGACAAAAGTCCTATTACTAATATTTATAGCTGGGATATTTATCAAATTTAGCATCAACATTGTTTTATGTTTACCAGACAAATTAAACGTACCCTTAAAGAGCACAAAAGATATGTCCAAAATCAAGACATTAACCGATTTTTAAACGCTCTGGATAGTTGGAGCTCCAGTCACAGTTTTTTAAAAATTTTCTTCAAAAATCACTCAAAACTGCTCTTCTTTTACTGAACTTGATATCTAGAATCATTCTATATTTTGAAAAATTCTAATAATTCAGTTAATGATCTTTTTAGCAGCTCAATATTTGTAAATCTATTGTGATTTGATCTTTAACACCCTGTGGTTTCTGCCAAACCTCCTAACACCTATTTCTTATATCCTATCTTCGATTTCCTTGTGAAAATTTGTTTTTCTGTCTCTATTGGTTAAACCACTTTGCACATGTTTGGCTCTTTACTTCTCTACACTCATTTGGTGTTTAGACACTAATTCGCATGTGCTCTTTTTCTTATGCTTTAACTTTGAACACAATTTAAAAATAAAAAAGCAGTGACTTACTTATTTGAGTAAAATTATTTGGGTCTCGAGCATTTTTTAAGCTTAACTATCTTACTTGTATCACTGAAGTTGAACAGCCAATCCGTAGCAGAGTGCTGAACACTGTCGTTTTATAATTTTGAATCTAAATCACAAAACAAGGGAACTCCTGGATAAGACCAGTAGCAAACTAGCCTTTATGGAAAACGTTTTTGAATGAAATGTGAAACTAATCTGCCTTTTCTTAATATAGAATCAAATGTAGAATTAAAGGTAATAATGAAAAACCACAAAATCATCCAATGCAATAAGTCCAACAGCATAGGTATTCAGTCCCACAATCCATCTACCATAGGAATAATTTTCATCTACAAGGGGAATACTGAAGCAATAAACGAATCGACTAGTTTTTTTCTTTCCAGAATTTGAAACTAGGTCTGATCATTATGCTCTAAACCCTGACTATTCCTCTCAAGAAAGAACTAATATTTTTACAATGAAAGTTGAGAAAATTTACCTATTTTCAGCCCTACTAGAAGAACCCGAAGAGGATTTGACAGATAATACAGACATCCTAGAATTGTTGGACCCTAGCATGGATTCAGATGAGGGTGGCTCTGAAGTTTCATAAGTAGAGTCCTCATCCATTTCAGACAAAGGTATGTCTAACTCCTCACTAAGTTCAACAACTATATCATGAAGAGTGTCTTCATAGCTAGAAAATAATATGCAAAGAAAAGTTGCTTGTTTTTTATAAATAACAATTTTATAAATTCTTAAAAAATTATGACAAAAAAATCATGAATACACAGATTTGAAAAATTTAAAAGAAAGGTATAGATAAAATTTAAAATATTTTTTTTTTTTAGATTTCTTCTCTTTTTTTTTCAAAAAATACTCTGAAAGTATACCACAAACAAATTTTTAGAGTAACAAATAATTATTTAATATACGCATATGAATCTAACAAGTAAGCAAGATAAATGCAGTTTATTATTGAAAGAAAATATATTTGCATGAGTTTGATTTTTGTAACTTTAAGTACAATTTTAATAAAATATTTAAAATTATGCACTATTGAAATTCATACCAAGTAAATAAATAGATCCATAAAAGGAAAAGTGCAGAAATTTGAAGAAATTTTTTGTCCTTGCTTCATATAATTTCATTTTATATAATCTGTAAATTAGTAAAATTATTTTTAAAACTAGTACTTTGATTGATATCCCAGCTTAACAGAATACTATCAGTTACATTTAAAATTGCAGCATTTTGCGCAATTATAATTAAATGTTTGCCTTATTTTTGCATACAATCTTAACAACCTCTCTTTATAATGTCTATTTACATTTGGATATTAGGAGTTGTTAAATTGATCATTTATTGTAATCATATTTGAAAGTAACGTAGCATAGAGTAAGTTTTTAACTAACAATCAAACTGGTAGTCCAATAACAGGAAGATATTACATTTTGAGCTGTATAGAGATATGACATCTTTTAGCATACAACCTTAACAATCTTTCGTTATGTCTATTTACATTTGGATATTAGGAGTTGTTAAATTGATCATTTACTATATCCATATTTTAAAGCAACATAGTATAAAGTAAGTTCTTAACTAACAGTCTAAGTGGCTTTCTAGTAACGGAAAGATAATCCATTTTGAGCTCTATACAGATATGACTTCTTTTCTTGGAATTTTATTGTATGAACAGTTTGCAATACAGAATTCTAGCATAATTCTGCTCATTAACCAATTATTTCTTTTTTAATGCAATACAAAATATTACAAAAGACAAAATTAAATAAATTTTTGGAAATTAAATTTTGTTGGTATACAATGCATTCTGAGGAGGAAAATGTATAAATAAAAATAACCATAGCTGTCAACATGGATGAGAAAAAATCCAGTAGATTTTACGAAATAATATAAATTTCATGACAATTGTTGCATAATGTACTAAATACACATAAGGAATTTTATCATCATCAATATAGAAAAAGTGCAATATTTTCCGGTTATGATTGACATTAAACATACTTGAAATGCTATGTATCAAGTTTACTCATAATTTGGAATATTAATATGCATTTAATTCAAAGATAGAAAGATTTTTTTTAATTAATTTAAAAAGAGAGTTCTGAATAAAAATAAACGGAGCATTTTAGAGCAAAAAAAGTTTTGAACTGATTTCTATAAACAAGGTTCGCGTCATTACGTACAACGTAATACTTATATTAATATTCAAGCAATAATCTGTAAAAAAATTTATTTGAATACGGATTTTTTTAGGAAACTTACTCAATTTTAGAGAATTTTCTTAAATGTTCAAAAACGAGGAGAATTATAACTAAACCAGTAGACCGAGAGAAACTGGCAAAATCGAGTAGTCTACTGGAAAATCTAATAGAGTTGGCAGCTATGAAATCAGGGGTCTGTTTAGAAGAAATTTGGGTCCGTTAACAGACCCTTCACAAAATGTATTTCCATAAAAACGGACCCTTCACAAAATATTTCAACTTAAAAACGGACCCTTCACAAAATAATTTATCTTTTAATCAGACCTTTCACAAATTTGTTTATCTTCATTATTGTCTTGTTAATCGAATAAACCCTTCCCGNATGAAGCTTGAATTTGAGAATATCTAGCAAAATGCAGTAGAGTTGCACATGAGAGTACAATAATACAAATTGTACTATAAATATACAATATTTTTAAGCACTATATGCATTAACAAAATGCAAAATAATTTTTTTAAAACTTTACTTTATCATGATAAAATAACTAGTTTTTGACAAGGAGCTCTTTTCTTGATTATATTAGTCATTGAAAAGTGATCAAGAGATTTTTCGCTTCGATTTCAGAGGGCAGAAAATGAAGCTTGAATTTGAGAATATCTAGCAAAATGCAGTAGAGTTGCACATGAGAGTACAATAATACAAATTGTACTATAAATATACAATATTTTTAAGCACTATATGCATTAACAAAATGCAAAATAATTTTTTTAAAACTTTACTTTATCATGATAAAATAACTAGTTTTTGACAAGGAGCTCTTTTCTTGATTATATTAGTCATTGAAAAGTGATCAAGAGATTTTTCGCTTCGATTTCAGAGGGCAGAAAATGAAGCTTGAATTTGAGAATATCTAGCAAAATGCAGTAGAGTTGCACATGAGAGTACAATAATACAAATTGTACTATAAATATACAATATTTTTAAGCACTATATGCATTAACAAAATGCAAAATAATTTTTTTAAAACTTTACTTTATCATGATAAAATAACTAGTTTTTGACAAGGAGCTCTTTTCTTGATTATATTAGTCATTGAAAAGTGATCAAGAGATTTTTCGCTTCGATTTCAGAGGGCAGAAAATGAAGCTTGAATTTGAGAATATCTAGCAAAATGCAGTAGAGTTGCACATGAGAGTACAATAATACAAATTGTACTATAAATATACAATATTTTTAAGCACTATATGCATTAACAAAATGCAAAATAATTTTTTTAAAACTTTACTTTATCATGATAAAATAACTAGTTTTTGACAAGGAGCTCTTTTCTTGATTATATTAGTCATTGAAAAGTGATTAAGAGATTTTTCGCTTCGATTTCAGAGGGCAGAAAATGAAGCTTGAATTTGAGAATATCTAGCAAAATGCAGTAGAGTTGCACATGAGAGTACAATAATACAAATTGTACTATAAATATACAATATTTTTAAGCACTATATGCATTAACAAAATGCAAAATAATTTTTTTAAAACTTTACTTTATCATGATAAAATAACTAGTTTTTGACAAGGAGCTCTTTTCTTGATTATATTAGTCATTGAAAAGTGATTAAGAGATTTTTCGCTTCGATTTCAGAGGGCAGAAAATGAAGCTTGAATTTGAGAATATCTAGCAAAATGCAGTAGAGTTGCACATGCGAGTACAATAATACAAATTTTACTATAAAGTGGTAATAAATTATTATAAAAATTATTAAATTTTTAATTGTAGATAATTTACAATTTAACAGAAAAGGTTTACTTCGTGAAATTATTTTTATGAAACACTCGGCATGAAGCAGCATTGTTAGCGTCGGGTGAAGCTCATCTCCAAGCCTCTTAAAGTTGGTGCGCCAAAGAAGGAAAAAAATGTTGGAAGATTTATTACATGATGGTCTAAATGTGAATGTGTTATTAGCGAGGATATCTCTGTATTTACACTAGGACTTGTTTCTTCCACAAAATTAACGTTCTCAACAAGTTTGTTTTCGCCCAACTAAATTTTAAAAGCAGATTTTTACTTTTTTGAAAAATCAGAGAATTAAGCTACAACTAAAACCGAAACAATGACGAAATCACACATGTCAATCTAAGAAGTCCACAAACAGGTACAATAGCGACTAATACTGAGAATTTTATAGCACGGCCTTTAAGAGAGGAAGGGTGAAAATTACAAAATGTATATCAGTGATCTGATGACGCAGATTGTTATTGCAACACACATGTTCTCAATTTGTCAACAATTTTTACATGTATCCAGTTTTATCACTGATATAGTGTTAAAAAAATTAGATGATCAAAATAAAATTGTTGATTTAAAAAAAATCTACTTAAAAAAATAACATTTCCTAAGAACTACTTAAGAAAAATAAATAATTCTAAGAGTTTTTAGAAATAACGGAGTAAAATAAACACTTTCTAAGAACTATTAGAACCCTGTAATAATCAACAATACATTTCAGTGTCTAATAATCTATATTTCACTTTGACAAAACACACAAATTAATAGGATTACTCCAGACATACAAAAATTATTACAATATGCTAAGACTTTAAAGAATATTTTTAAAAAAATAATAAGTAGTACTGAAATATTGCTTCAATAACGTAGACCAATATTTTTCAATAAAGTTACCTCTGCAGAATGAGTATCAGAAGACTTTAATTTAAAGAAAGAAAATGCAGTTTTAACTATCTTTTTTGCAGATTGCAATACAGAATGACTAGTATTCAGTGCTAAGTCATATTCTCCCTTCAGCAGACTTATAAGCTCGTCATATCTGAGGTTTGAAACTGGAAAATTAAAAAGAAATATTAATCTTTGTTCATCGTTATAATTCTGAATTTAAATGAGATCAAAAGATTTTATCATTGGTGAATTTTACAACACTTACCAATTGTTAAAACAATTAAACACATTTAATTCACTTTGATGTGTGTACAAATAAATGAACAATTTATTGCTGATTAAATGTTTATTCGATGAAATTCATACTCATATTTTATTTCATGAATATCGAAAATAAATTTAACCATACTAATATAAACAAATAAAAATATATGTGTGTTTTTTCAATGACAATTCAAAGTATTTCTGACTGTTATGTATATTATGAAAGTATAGTTTAATTTTTTACAGAAGTTCACAACTAAATGATTTAACATGCCAGGGGTCTGTTTAGAAAAAATTTGGGTCCGTTAACAGACCCTTCATAAAATATCTTTTCATGAAAATGAACCCTTCACAAAATAATTTATCTATTAATCAGACCCTTCACAAATCTGTTTATCTTCATTATTGCTTTGTTAATCGAGTAAGCATTTCCCGGGGGGGGNCAGAAAAACCCTTCCCGGGGGGGGGGGGGAGAAAGATGGTTCAAGACAAACTAAGTTTCCCTTAATTTAAATTCCAAATGTAGTATTCCAAGAAAA